GTTCATTGCAGGACATTTTTAGCTTATGGAATGACACAAGCATCTAAATAGTGGAAGAGAAACAACTTTGATATTAATTTATTTACCATTAGTGGTTTCAGAGCCAAAAGCAGCAGAACTATTCAATCAAGATGGAATTGCTGTTGAATGGCTGGGTGTGGGTAGATTGTAAAGCACTCATTTGTGTTTTATCTAGTACTTTTAAAGGTTTTTCCATTCCCGTGCCACAGCCCAATAAACTAAAATTTTAGTGACTTAATTTCTCAAGTAAATTCATATAGACTTTCGACTTTGAAGAAGAATTTGTGCTGTCTCGAGTGTTTCCTCAGAATTTTTAAACCATAAGATAGGTATCTTGCCTTGCAGTATTTTAAAGTATGGTTTCCTTTTCCATTTTGATTTAGCATTGTCCATGAGATTTTCACTGCAAGTAATTGATGTATAATAGTAATTTGAAGGGTAGTTATTGAAAATCCTTCTATAGATCACCTGAAGATATAACCTAATCAGGTCTCTCTGTTTATTACTTAATCTTACTTTTTTGTCCTTCTTTGAAATGTCGCTTGTAGTGTTGTTCTTACAGGTGTTTTCTTTTTTTCTTCTTTTTTTTTCTTTGTTGGTTTTGGCTGGGATAGAGTTGGTTTTCTTCCAAGAAGTCTTCAGGAATGCCTTAGAGGGAGTATCCTTGGGATTTCTGTGGGAGTTCAATACTTTCCTCCTATATTCTGTTTTCTCTTTTCACCTCACTAGATCTCTGTTTAATCTCACCTATAAATCAAAATGGAACTCCCTGGAATTTATGAGAAGCAAGCATTTTAGTAAGTCTTACCTTACTTTTGCAACAGCAGATGTTGATCTGTGCTTGCTCCGAGAATTTCATTGGATCTGTTTGCCTTGCTGAGAGCTGCATTTGAATTCTCAAAGTTTCTATTCTGTTTTTGTTGTTCTGGTATCTTTATGAGATACCTGTACATACAGATGTGCATCAACCTGTTATGGAACCACTTTTTCTTGCTAGTGTAATTGAAATGACTCTTCATACTAAAAAAAGCTTAAAGATGAGTGTTTAGTCTTATTTTAGAGAATCAACAAGATGGGCTCTTTAAAGGATAAGCAAGGCAATGGAGATAAATTTTGGAGAATATCTGTCAGCCATGTATTGTTTGTATTGTCACTTGAGGCTTTTAGTGTGTATTTCAGGCATAAAAATGAGCAAAACTGCAACAGCCTACATTGTGGATGCCTTTTCTTTGAAAGGGACTTTGGAGGCTCATGAGCCCCCTTTTCCTGTCCTCATCAGGCTAGTCTGGGGAACAATACTATCTCATTCTCTTTCCCCCATTGCTCATGACGTCCCTCTGCTTCTCTTGATACAAGTTTTCATGTAAGCATTCCATTTAGTGCAAATATATTAAGTGGTTCCATTCTAGCCAGGGAATTAGCAATGTACTCTTTTGATATTTTAACTATTGCTTTCATAATGTATACTTTTAACTGCCCTTTCTGCCTGTTGATCCCATTTTTAAGACATTTAGAATTTTTGAAATCGTAGATCAAAGAAATACCCTCACTGCCTTCTCCAACATTTACACATCTTGGGTGTGCCTTAGCTTTTCATGATCAGAAAATATCATTTAATGCACATAAGAGAGTTTGTATTCAAGCACTCAATCAAAAATACTGGTTTGTAACATTTGTGTGCTGTCGTGTGTCACTGTTTGCAAATAGTTAAATCTCTTTCTACTTATCAAACTTGTGTCTTGTGTCCTTTTGTCTCCTTTCTTCATCCCATTGTGAATCTCTAGCCATCAGTTTGTATTCTACTTGATGAAAATGAAGCTATTAATTTTGCCCTGCTATTACCCTCTTTCTCATTCCTGAAGATGAAGAGGATGACTGTACCATCTGGCACGTAAACTTCACTTTGGGCCTTTCTCTAAATGTTTGTGTTTGATGTGTGGCCAAATCTTGCAGATTCCTTCTTTGAGACCTTTGTTAGATATAGCCTAGCATAGCCATTACCAGAGTTAAAATATTCTCATTTTGTATCTAAATTTCAATAATTCCTTTTTCTTGGCTATTGCTGTGTTATCTAGTCATTTAGAATATTCTGCAAGATCATTTTCCAGGTTTATAAAATCAAACAGTATTTATGTATCTTATTTGCTTTCTTTCTATCCAAAACTTATTTGTCTTTGCTGTTAAACTTTTCATGGCTTAAGTGCATTCTCATATCATTCTTCATCCCAAGATACCTATTCCTGCTGTTAATTGGCTCATCATATGAGCCCACACTGGCCAGCTGTTAGTTTTCTGTCTGTAAAGTCCCTGCATTCCTTATAAACATCTTTTTTAGAAAATCCTTTTTCTCCTCCAAATCTCCCCCCAAAGTCTTTTTGCTGTGATGTCTAAATAAAAGCTGGACAAGACTTATCTCCTGGTGTGCTAAGAATTTTGCCTGTTGAGCTGACCAATGTCAGATGTTAAAGTAAAAAGACTGGAGGGTAACTGCTCACCGTCTTCAGCTGATCTTCAGTAACTCTATGATTATGCCCTTGGCCCGTGGGCAATGCAAAGCAATTGGACTTAGGGTCATTGTCCTTCATTGACTTCAAACTGCAGATTTGGGTAGTTGAATATTTATTAACTCTTGAAGCACTTCTTGTGCTAAAAATGTGCCCTTTTTCACCGAGAGCTAACGTAACATGAATCACCTGGCATTTTCTGTGGGCTCTGAATGCACACATGGACTGTCACCTGGCAGTTCCCTGGCATGGCAGTGCCTCTACAGTTGAGAGCAGACAGCCTGAAGCTCAGGAGGCAGAAAGTGAAGTACTTGTGACTGGGGAGAAGGACTGAGAAATACACAAAATTCAAAAACATAATGACACCTTGATTTTTCACCTTCAGTCTGTTTGTTTCTATGATCTCGTGTGCTTTAATTTCTCTTCTGTAGTAAAGGATATACTCTACTGAGCATATATTATTATTGATGTTTCTTTATAGGAAATAAGAAGCATTTGAGGATGATTTCCAATATGCCTGTGGCATTTTTTTCCTGGAAATCCATCAACCTTTTAGCCTGTTGTTTTCTTTGTACACTCTCTATTCTTTCCTTCCTGGGAAAGAGAGTTTGAGAGAGATTCTAACTAGTGAACTTGTTTTTATGAATTTATGTAAGCATGTCATGGTCTTGTAGAGGAATATAGTGTAAATGCTGTCTATCTATTTATTTAGTTCTACTCTAATTGAGTGTAGGTTTTTGGAGTTCAGGTATAATCAGAGAAGTATAATGAGTGAAATCTGGAAGTGGGGTTTAAGTTCCTTTAAAAGTTCATGAAATGAAAATAAAGAAAATGCATTTTTATTTTTCCCACAAGAATAACCTCACTGTTGTTTTTTCTAAGCTGCACTTAAAAGTAATATATGAAGCATAAAAATAATAGTTAATAATGAAATGTTTTAGTCAGTATGCTGTATTTTGTTCTTAAAGGCATTTCAAAAGAGTCTATCTTTTATCTTGGTAGTTATTTTTCAGAGAATAAAATTAAATGCATGAGTTTTTAACAAAATTGTTATTGACTTCAGGCTTTATTTTAGTAAATGTATTTGTTCTTCTCTTTTAAAATGAAACTTTATTATAGAGTGGACATTTAGTATTATAGAAAAACTATACTAGAAACATTAGTGTTAATAGCTTAGTATTTTAGTCCTTCACAAATTAATGTCTGTGGTAACTGGATGATTTTAGGCCTGTTCTTACAAACAAGGCCTTACTGATGTGCAAGGAACAGTAATACGTGTCAAAAACTCCACATTAACCAAGGTAAGCAGTATAAATGGGGTGTAGGAATCCCCTGTTAGACTAAAAATCTCCAAGAGAAAATCTCCAGAGCCTACAAATTAAAGACCTCCAATATCATTTAAAAATAAAGCCTTTTATGTAGTAGGAGAGCATTTTTTCAGCTGATAATCAAATAACACTATTATACAGGCTTACTAGATTTGCAAATTTACAAGTTTTTACAAGTCAGTTGGGTCCCTTCCTCAGGAAATCAGTTGAAGTTTTTTTTCCTGTATTAACTCAAAGAGCTTGCTTGTCCTGAAATCCTTCTGAATATATTTGCCTTATAATTTGACTACATTGAGTCAACACCCTTATAGGAACTGTAATGCAATAAAAAAAAGAGAAACTGTTCAATATAGTTTCCAATTACTTTAGGATCAGATTGGAGAAACTGGAATGTACACAATAAAACCTGCACAAGGCTTGAGTTCTGTGAGATTTTGGAAGCAACCAGTACTTTTCAGCATAAAATACCATTTGAAAGCTTTGCTCTGCTTCCAATGGTTGTAAAGTGATAAAAATGAAAATATGTATGTGTCTTGAAATGTGCATTTTACTCTTTAAAATTTTCTGAACCACACCTTTGTGGAATTGAAAGTCTCATATGTAAGTAACTAAGCATCACTGCTTTTACTCAGTCAATTTTTTTATTATAGTGAATGTTTTTCCTTTGCCATGTTCTGCAATAAAATTCTTATTTACATTTTTACTTTGGAAAAATATGTCGATTCAGATGTGCCTGGTGAATTTATTTTGTATAAGTCTTCAAGTTACACTGGAATCCCCAATGTGCATCTTGCTTCAAACAGAGTATGGAATATTAGTTGTCTTGTTTTAGTATGTAGCTATCAGCAGAGTTTTACAAAGTATTTGAGTGTATGCAGAAATAAATTTGTACTTTGAGATATGAATTTGTTGCATTTGGCCATAAAATTTTAGTTAGGGTTTTATTTCAGTTTTGCGAATAAAATTAGTCTGATATAATTAATTGCTTTTATTTTAGCAAATTATTACAGAGAGAAAGAGACTTGCACTTGCATCTACCTGTAAAGGAAAGTATTATATCTGGTGTGTTTCCAATGAAAAATTTCTAATGTCAGTAACTAAACAGGATCCAGTGTAACAATTTTTCATTTCTTCAACTTATTTTTAGTTGACTTGGAGCATATTCGCACAGTGAAAGCTGACAAGCACCAGCGATTCTGTCAGGAAAACAACTTCAGTAGCCATTTTGTGTCAGCCAAGACAGGAGATTCTGTAAGTAAGGAAAAACCCCAAACTTGTAGATGTCTGTGTTTTTTTTTTCCAAGATGCAGCAGTTATATTTTTCTTCACAACTGTTGAGAACTCAGAGTGCTGCAGGCCCTTTTTTGACTCCCTTTGTTGCATGAAAAGTAGATTTTTGTATGAATGTGTACTATTCTTATTAAATTACAGTGGTTTCTCATCTGATTTTCAGTTTGAGGTACAGATTTTAATGGAAATGATCTGGCTTATACATCAGTGTGAAAACTGAGACCAGCTAAATCTCTGTTTGCTGTCAGCCTGTAGTTAAGTATATTTCTTTATTCCAGGTGGAGTCCCATCTATAGACCATCAATATAGAATTTTCCAACAATTGGTAAATAATGTGACAAGACCCTGTTGCAATAAAAGATTTTAATATGAGTTCTGAGCCATGAGAGACATTCCCTTTGCAGCTCCATTGAAATTTGAACATTCTGACATTTGTACCAGATGCTTTGCAGAGTACATTTTTGAACAATCTTTTGACTCTGAGCTAACTGGGTTATTTGTTTTAGTTGGAAGCATATGAAAGAAAAGGTTCTTTTTCAGTTGACACTATCAGTCAAATTAAATAATTTTGTATTGTTTTGCTTGATTTCTGTCTCATGTCTAATGAGTTTGTCATTCCCATAAAACAGTCTTGTATCTGTCTCCTTAATATTACTGTTGACAAGAAAGTTTACTTTAATGTGATTGAATAGCAAGACCATGGTCAAGTACATGGAAGTATAGTCCACAAATGGAATGACTTGTTCAGTTCTTTGATGAATCTTGTGCAGTGAACTGCCTAATTTTGTAAGATAATGGTTTTTCTGTAAAGCCTAACAATGCTGCTGTTATAAATGCAGTGAGTCCTGATTCTCTTTGTAGTTTGCGTTAAATCCTTGGCATATTTTTTTTGTTTTAAGTGTGAAAATACAGGCTTTTTATGCCAGAAACAGAAAAAAAAATTCGTAATACTACACTTGGTAAAATGTGCATCTGATAAAATATATTCTTTTCACAAGGAGACCACCAAAATCAATTAATTTTATAATTGATGCATTTTTCATTTCTTATTATGACAGAATCTTTATTTCAGCTTTTTAAGTCATTATTTACATCAACATTCCACTATATATACCGATTTTACTTTTCATAATTTACTGTTTAAAATAAAAGTTAATCTGAACATGACTAGAAAACATTAACAGGAAATCTCTGCCTAAATATCTACTAACAGAAGAAGTAGTTTCAATAGTTCATTTTTAGTTTCAATATAAATTTGAATTATCCCTTTCACTGCTGCTGCACACTGATCATTTAGAAGATGGAGTGTTTATCCCTAGACAGTGATTTTAGAAGAGGCATCCATTGCTACTGTGAATATAGACTAGAGGTGTCTTACTCAGTTATATGATTTGTTTTGTTTCTGTCAGATCTTTTCAACAGACTTATTTGCAAAAGCTGATTTTGTGTGTATAGAAAAATCTGAAAGTCATCTCAGGGGCAAAAAAAATTCATGTAATTTTATTATTACAGTTTTATTATTACTAACTGTGTTACTGTCCACCAAATCACATAGCTGAATCACTGCACTTGTGCTTGATGTTTTTTGCAGTGTCCTCAGGGCAGGTGATGTAGCTCAGAGCTCCTGAGCTGGTGTGGGTTAAACTGGGTCTCTGAGCCTCAGAATCTCTGTTCAGTGTGCCCTTTCTTGTTGTGTACATGTTGGTAGAACAGACCAGTACTATACCAAGGAGTTGAGAGAAAGAGCAATTGTTTTAGAAGTGACCACACTTCATTGGTTGTGCCACTAATTTATTTCTGGTTTCCATCTCGGGTGTTGGAAGAGATTGTGTAAATAGTATTTTTCTTAATTTTCACTGAAAATGACGGTGAGCATGTACATAGATTTTTTTTTTTGTGGGTGGCAGCTGCATGACGCAGACCAATGTTTGTTAGGTGTTTAGATGGTGAGCTCAGACATTGTTAACAGCCCTGCAGATAAAATATAACTTGTAGCTTGGCAATACAGTGTTTAGCAGGACTGCACACTTAAGCTGCTCCTCTTGAACATGTCATATTCTTTCATCACATTTAAAATGCAGTTTTACCTAAACAGTGAGATAGGTAGACTGTCATGAGATGAATTAAAGCACTTGTTTAAAACAGCATTGCCACCCAGTATTATGTGTTAAACCATGTCCAAAGTCTAGCTCTGCCAGGCTGCTGCTGCAGGCTGTACAACATCCTGCTTGTTCCTAATACTATTCAGTGAATGTTTTGTAGGAGTCTTCAGAACTCTCTCATACTGCTGTTTTTTGGACATATGTGGTAGAGATTTTTGTGATGTAGATGTACAGTTCTGTTATTCTTAGTTTCAGAAACTTACATCTCTTATTTCACAATACACTGGTAATACATTTTTGTGCTCAACATTAGTGAATACCCTTATTCATATTTTATAGCACCAAGAGTAGGATTTGAGAGGTGGGTTGTGTAAAAGCTTGTTTAAACTTAGGTCTCTGGAGGCAAAGTAGAAGTGTTGCTTAACAATCCAGCATACTGTTCGTTCCTTGTACCATTGTTGAGTTATTTTCTCAAATTTTTAAACAAAATTGAAAGTACCAGATGAGTTTTTTTTCAGATCTGTTTTGCACAGGTTGTAATTTTGTATATCATTGTTTACTGTTCAGGAATGGTTTGATATATTTGAAAGAACCTCAAGGATGTCTGGTTTTAATCATTGAAATGCAATTTATTTTCTTTCCATAGGTCTTCCTGTGTTTTCAAAGAATTGCTGCTGACATACTCGGCATCAAATTAAACAAAGCAGAATTGGAACAATCACAGGTGATTTTCCACAAATACATGGATTTTTTAGTATTTTATTTAGTATTAAAAGTGATCTTGTGGATTTATAACTGTTCTTTAAATAAATCTTCATCTGTTGTTCTGAAGGTAAATATTTGATTTCATAACAGCTTTTTTGAAGTACGATAATTCCTTACTTATCCATCATGATCAACTCCCTGAAATAAGAAAGAACATGTTCAAAAATGAAGAAAAAAATTTATTTCTAAGGATATTTGTTTAAAAATAGCGCTTAAGATTAGTTTGGACATTAAATATGTGTGCATATAAGGTAGCATAGAAGATATTAATGAAATTATATGCTAATGATATGATATGGTATTATATCGTTTAAACTGAAAAATTTTTCTACAGCCTAGTTTCAGAAACCTCAAAAGGCAAGATTAAACTACTGAGGCAACCCTGTGTAATGACATTTGAGATTACAATTATTTAAATTTACTTAGTGAACCCAAGTGTTGCTATTCTAAAATGGTGTAATTTCCTAGATCTGCTTTTCAATACCAGTGTTAAACAAGTACCACAAAATAAGCCTATAAGTTTATTTAAAATAAATGGCAAAGCATTTCTTATGCACAGCTTGGTCTCCTTCTTTTTGAATGATACAATAAATACGTAATTTCTGAAAGTGCTTTGCCACAGCAGTGTTTGCAATCTGTGTTGAAGTGGTTAACTAGAAAACTGTATTACAAACAGTAAAATTGTAAAATAAACTTACAGAGCATACTTAACAAACAAATTAGTTTTAAAAAGCTGTAATTTATAGGCAGAGAAATACTAAGTGTGTCTTTTAAATGTTCTTTTACTGCTAAGGTACTATCCATCTATTATTTTGAGCTCTGTGATTATTTGTCTCTAAATAATTGAGCACATAGAGTTCTTCAGTTTTTCTTTGGTTGTTTAGCTAACACTGGACTATCAGTCCAAGACCTTTCTGTGCTATGAGTGGTGTTCTGTAACTCAGGTGTAAGACTGTAGAAAGGTGTGTAATTAAATTTAAAGGAGATAATAGCTTATATGGAAAACTTTATCATTCCAAAGAAAGGGTCTGGTTATAGATTGTTTTTAAAGTAGGAAGGTCCATATGGCCCCAGTTCAAGAGTACATAATTATATCAAACTGGTATCAGATTTAAGTAGGCTTCCTTCTACTTTAGTATTGTAATTAGCTTTTAATTTTGTTGAGTAGATCAATGGAATGTATGGGTCAGTTGATATTACACAAGTTGCATTAGCAATAGCCTATAAATAGTTAATTTGCATAAATTAAATGTTGTGGCATATATTACTGTTGATGTGAATCTAGGCTCTAATTATCAACAAAAAAGGTAAAAAAAAATCTCTGAAAAACCACCACCACTGACAAAATAAGCAACAAAAGAAGAAACAAAGCCAGTAAATGAATTTGGACAGAAAATTAACTTCACTGTTGCCTTTCAGGTACAGCAGAAGTCACTATGTGGTGCAACATGTGTTTGTAGCTAAGGAGTGTGAGATGCTTAATTTGCAAAGTTCTGTTAATGGGGCATAATTTTAATCTACTCCAAAGAAGCAATAGCTCTTTGTTATCAGTAAAACCTTTGCTCCTTTTGAGAGGGTTATTTTGAAGGGATTCTAAGAGTTCCCCCAATGAGAAAGTTGGAAAGTCTGTTAGCTGTATCTTAAGGCTCGTTGTATGGAACCAAACACCCCCAATACTTCATAAGAACAGAAAAGTGAAAGTCTCTTCATAATCTGGAGAGTGAAAACTTGAACCTTCATATCCTCAGGAAGATAAATTCACTTGAGAGAAATTAATTTGTCTGCAGTAGAAAAGTCTAATTGAGGTGATGTGCAGATGCTGTTTGCCAACAGCATGGAGCTGTTCTCTTGGCTGGAAGGAGGTGGAGTTAGAGGACAATGCCATAATCAGGTTTCTGTTTTACCATAGACTCTGGTATGACAAATGCAGGTGTGATGGTGGTGTGAGTTTTTCCCTCTTCCATCTCTAAAATGGGCACGTGTGTTCCTTAATTTGTGGGTCAATTATATGATGTGTGTTCCTTAAAGTTTTTAGGCATTGAATACTCTAGGTACTGGGCTATAAAATTAGATCAGTAGATAACCAGATGCTAGATAAATGCTATAAAGAATCTAATAAATACAAGACAATAGTAAATGTGACTTATCTGTAAAGTATACAAGTGTTGACTTGGATTCAATCTTTAAATAAGGATTTTGGTTTTTACAAATGTGCATTATTTACACACTGGACTATATATTTGCATTTTCCATATTTTGTGTAATGTAAGATTTCCTTGTTTTAAAAACTGAGATCATTCTTGCTTGAATCTGTTTGTCAGACAACATCAGATATGTTCATTCAATCTAGGCATTAAATACTGAATTTGTGTAAAATGCCAACAGTCAAATACTATATGTGTATTTTTATTGTCTAGTATTGAGAACATGCTTTAAAATTATTTCTAGTGCTTGATTTTGTGCCTGAAGATCTTATTTCTTGTGTTTAGAGTCAGTTATGATTATTATAGTCTAGAAGATTTTAGATATGACTCATAGGTGGATACAACTAAGTAATAGGAATCCCAAACATAGTATTTTAACTTGTATGAATTTGTGGGGTTTGGCTCATGACTTTTGAGCTTTGATGAGTAGCAGAACTGCAGATGCTCTTGTGAAAAGTATGTGAGGTTCTTGGTTGCCTTCAGATTAGCAGCACAATTTCTGTTAATTGACTGCAAGAACAAGCCTTGGAGATTGAATTATATTTACTCTGCATTGTTTCAGAAAACAGCTGCAGCAGTTTAAGACATTAATGCAGCCCAAGCTATTTGCTGCTGCCCTTTTGTTGGAATGTATTGCTCCCACATCAGAATCAGAACATGGAAGGTGATCATGTGCTTTGGCCACATCAGGGTGAAGTTGAGCAGTTTAGCTTAAACTGCTGCTGAAAGTTGTTTTAAAGAGAAACTGCCAGACTGTGCTGAAGTGGATGAGGTGCAAGTACACGTTACATTCCAGCAGCTCTCCTTTGGCAGCAATGATCTCCAGCAGAGGAGTAGGACAGACATTTGGGGGTGGTAAGTTTTTAAACTATCTCAGCTAGAGCTACTAAACCTTGTCTGTTCACGTGCTGAGATGGCTGTTAATCAAACCTTTATTTGGACAAAACTGGTGAAACAAAGAACTAGATTACTCTTCATGTGTGACTGGAAAGTAGAGCATGTTTTTTCAAATAGAACAGTTTCAAAATGAGAAAATTGCAGAGTCTGACTTTTCAGTCCTTAAAATACTCTCCCTTTTAAATTGCAAGGGTCTGATGAAATGTGAGGAAATAGCTCCTTTATTAATCAAATGTTTTTCTTTCTGTATTTTTTACTTCCAACCATAGTGTAAAAACTGCATGGGGTACAGCTTTGTTCCTTGGCATTGGCAAGAGCTAGCATTTTTGTAAGTGATGTGTAGTTTTCTCTCTAACTAAATACTGGTTCAGCAGACCAGTGTGTGTGTGCCAGCTTTGTACAATAAAGTGTTTGGCAGATAAGTCAGAACTGAAATACAGAGCACCTGGACCAAGAAAGGTCATTTCTCATTATTGACAGTGATTTGAACCATGGCAATGATACACTTGATGTAGGATCTGATGCAAAGAGGCCCAAGTTTTTAATTACCAAAAAGTTAATGAAAGAAATGTTGCAATGATATTTTTAAACTGTTATTTGGATGAAATTCCATTAGAAAATCCAAGTCATTTATGATCGTCAGTTTTTTGCTACAGTGTAGCTAAGCATAGGTCACTAACCTGCCTGTGTTTACAGGATGGGATTTAGACCAATGTTTTAGGAACAATTAATTGCCTGCTGATTGCAGGACTTTTTCTCTTGGGTTTTTTTTTTGCCCCTCAGCTCTAGTCAAATGATTGGTATGAAGAAACCAGGTCCTGTGAGGTCAGATAATGCTGTTTAATGCTAAAACTCCTACTACTGCCCTACATGGGATTGGGCAACCTTTCTCTTGATAACATCAGGCCAGGAGTCCAGTAAATCATGAGTGTTGTCCACTAGATAAGATAATATGAATGTGATGAATTAAGCTCAAGAAGAGTACTTCAGCAGCTAATAAATCCAGGTCCTTTGCAAGCCTATTTAATTATTGTTGCTTGTTTGACATACAGGTTTTATTTACAGAGGTAATCTTTAATGCATACTGTTTATATATTCCTAATCCACTTTATATATTGTTTCCCTTAAAATAATATAATTTAATTATTTATGAATTCATTTTAACTTTGAGAATATATTGTAGGAAAGTTGAAGTATTTAAGAAAAAGCATTAAACTGGTTTAGGGTATCTTTCATAGCAGACTTACCTCCTCTGCTGCTTCTTTGATGAAATCGTTCCATGAATTTTACTTCCCTTCGCATGAACCCTGTATTGACCCTGTATTAATAATGAGAACCCTGTATCTATTACCTGTATTAATAATAAGAAAACAGTTTTGTTGGTTTGTCTCTAAGGGGAAAAATGGGAGCCTTTTATTTTTAAATGAAGCAAAGATAAATCAAAACTTAGAGCATTTTGATATGTGGTTGTTAATTTGGTCACTGCTTTTGGATTAGATATTTAGGTGTAATGTGATAGTTATGTGATGGAAAAGATGCATGTATGCAGCTAATGCACTTGTTATGAGCTAAAAATGTAGTATTTAAGTATATTTGATTTAAAGTAGGAATAGGCCACTGTCATCTTTTCTTCCACTAAATTCCCTGCCTTTTTATCCTGTCCCTTCTCTAGCTTTAATACATTTTTGCTGATTGCATGTATGAGCCTTTCACTTTGGTGCTTTGAGAGGGCATGTTCTGGAAAAAGCTCAACAGGCAGCCCTGGTGCTGAGTGCCGCTTTCAGCCAGACTGTTGCTCTTGTATCTGCCTAAGGCCTGAAAATGCACTTTCCTTTTGCTTCTGCATAATCTTATGTTATCCATTCATTCTTTTCAACTACTGATTAATCTCTCCATTGTTTTCCTTCTCTTTTCTTTTTACATTCTTCTCCTTGCCCTCTATCCATCATGTTGATACATGGTTAACAGAATGTTGTCAGGGCAGAACTAGTGAAATATCCTGAAGAAGATAACCAACATCACACTTCCAACTGCCAGAGCAAAGTCTGCTCAATGCAGTAGTTCAGGTATTGATGGAAAACTTGGTTTGTTTCTTTTTTATGAGCTGCATTGCTTTTACATGAAGTAACAACTGTTAAAGTAAGTTCTTTTGGAAGATTGTGTATTGTACGTGTAAGTACTTGTAATACTCAACATATTATTTTGGAACAAGTTTTTAATTACAATTAATTATGTAGTGTTTCTAATAGTCAGATAGTTTGTAGAAACTTTGAAACGCTTCATGTTACTGTATTCAGTGCTGTACATTCAAAATATTACATAGCTGTCTCAGATGGAAATGTATGCAAAATAGTACATTTCTGGCTCCTCATGTAGGAGAGAGCATCAGTCTTATCATGTGCTTTGTAAATAGAATGTGTAATATCTGTTAGATTGTACTAGAGAATAAATATAGTATGCAGAGCTTCTTTTTAGGTTAATATAATCTTTAGCCAGTGTGCCTATCAAAGCTTTTTAAAAATATTGCTGTATTTAAAATTTACTTTGAATTCTATTTTCTGATGAAATGCTTGGAGTAAAGACAAAAAGACTTAGGTACAATTTCCAGTTACAATTTAGGCAGTTATTATTAAAGAATGAATGGCACAACTTTTGCAAATAAATTCTGTTTTATTACTCTGACACAGAAAAATTTTCATGGAAGTAAAACTTTATTCACTGCTTTAGGAAGAAAATTCTAGTCCTTTTGTAGTGTTGTGATAACCTACCAAGGCACTTGCTTCTGCTTAGCATGAATAAACCTAGAATTATAACAAGCATTAGCACTTGATAAGGTTTCCTGTAAGGTAGTGGAAAAAAAATACTGATTTGTTTGTTATTTTCCCCTTTGTATTTCATCAAAATCTGTTGAATGCTTTGCCAGCATGAAGTTTCTCTTTTCTGATTGTTACTGTGTTTTCTTTTGTGACAGAGAGTGGTGAAGGCAGATATTGTCAACTACAGTCAGGAGCCTGTGACAAGAGCCGCCAATCCTTCCAGGAGCTCAATGTGTGCAGTTCAGTGACCACCCTGTTCTTCTCTGGCTCGATACCTTTGCAGTGCTCCTGCCTTGATGCAGGCTCTGGGATACCAGGAACTTGTTTTAACAGGGACCAGCACAACAATGCCATTAGAGGTTTCAGAAACATCTTCACCATTGTCCATTAGGAAGCAGCAGGCAGTTTTTTGACTGGCTCAAATTCAAACATGAGACAACACACTTGAAAAATTTCAGTCTATATTCTTTAAATTATATTTAAATGAAACTGTATAACTGTGTTTATGTTTCCTTCTCTCTATTTGACTGATACCAGAATAAAAATAGATGAGGAAGCCCTGCACTCAAAATGCTTTTAAAGACATCACCGTGGAATGGTATTTTGCCAAAGCATTTTTAATTTTTTTTTCTCCAGTTATTTGAACTAACACTCAACAAAATGTTACTTGGAAAAACTGTTGTTGGAATAACTTTAAACACATAATATATATTTTATCTAGGGATAATTTTGAAAGTGTTCAATTAATATATATACACTTAGCACAAAATGTGTAAGTTGTATCCAGTGAGAAACAGTGCTTGAAATAAAGCTGTTATTATAAAAATAGCTATTTCTCTGAAGTCTCAAATTGTCTCCATGGATGGTCTGAAAAATGCTAGTGTTTTTGTGTATTTTTATCACCACATCAGCATTTCTTCTTGCACTAATAAATAGGCTTATATGTCTTTATGAATATGCATAAGTCTCAGTCAACAGTTTGGTCTGTAAATGATGAGTGGTATATTCATCATGCATTAGAAACTGTTGATAGATCAATTAGCATCAGTCACTTTAAATAACTAACAGAATGACTTTTGGCCTGATATTCTTTTCTTTCGAATATAGAATAAATGACAAAGAAAAAACTGTGTGCTCTGTGATCTTCACACTTGTTCCCTGTTGCTTTTCTAGCAGCGCACACAGTTCTCTGCTGGCACATCTAAACAGAAAGCTAAGAAGAGAAAGAAGTTAAGCCATCTCAATGCCCAAACTAGAAATCTTTTCCTGTTTAAACTCTAGAATGTTCTTTCTAATAACAAGGAAACATTTGGAGATTCAGAGAGTAATGAGGCTATGAAGGAGGCTTGTATATTGCAAGTGAAAATTATGAGTTAAGTTGTGAATGTTAAGCTGTTTAAGCAAGTACTTATTAGTTGGAACAACTAAACTATTAGTAGTTTAACAAAATAGCTAAAATATTTTAACTATGTCAAAAAAATTGCAGATGGCAAAAAATCCTATTTATTCGCTTAACACATAATTATATAACTCTGTGATATGACTTAGTGTGCATTGTTTAGCATTCAGATCTGGGGAATTCTAAGAAGCTGAGATATTGAGAAATTATGCTGCACTAAGGTAGGTGTGATTTGCAGTAAATAATTCATTCTAGTCTGAATTCTTGCTCCTTCCCATAGGGTTTGTGTCCCACTGCATTGCTTTACTGTATATTTAACTGCAGCTATGGAGGAGAACTCTCTTCCACTACCACCAGATGACAACTCCTCTTCAAAGAGTTTTTCTTTATAGTTACTCACTTCACAAGTTTATGGCCTCCAAGGCAGATGGAACGTTTTTTAAATCTTTACATTTCTTGGTGTGTTTGTGGCCTCAGCTCTGCTCGAATGTTCAGATATTGACAAGAACTGCCCCCCTCTGAGAAGCTGAGCACAATGTAGCTCAGGCAGGTGGCTGTGGTCTTTCTCTAGTCCAGGTGTATCATCTTCGTGGTCCTGCTTCCCAAGTCATATGTAGTATGGTCATAAACACCCAACTTCTTTAGTTGTTTAAGTTTTTTTCTTTAAAAAATTTCTGTAATTTTACTTTTCAAAAGAAAATGCTTTTTTATAACTTCATATGCAGAGTCCATTATCACCTTGAACAATAAAAATTTTTGCTTTTATATTTTGGGTATTCTGCAGTATGAAAAATGTTATATGTGTCCCAGTACAAGCTGTTTTACAGATGGATTTTATGTCTTGGTCTCATCACAGTTTTTTACTCTCAATGCCTATTTTTCTAGCTGTCTTTGACTTGTACATCCTTTTGTATTTTATTCCTCTTGATCTTTTCACCAACTGCTATGTTAAAGGCCTACCTTCTCTGAAGATATTTTTGTTTATGTTTCCAGACTGCCCTCATTCTTTCTCCCTAACATACATGTATATTATTTACACTAACCAGGAATCTCCTCTCTTCTGTGCCCTCAGCCCCTCCTTTTGCTGCCCCTCTTAACCTCCTCAGCTTTTTGTATTGTATACTGACTTCCACTCTCTCTGCTTTTCCCTCTCCTTCCTGCCCCACAGAGATCCATTACCTGTCCACCTTTTAATCCTTACAAATGAGCTTTGCTCTTTTTGCTCAGCCCTGGGGACTCCACCTTGAGCCTTCAATTTCCAGCTGCAGTCTAAATCCTGGGCTGTGGTAGCTGCCTTTGAAGTGCTGCAGCAGCTATGGTTGAAGATGCAGCACTGCTGTTGCTGGTGCTATGGCACAAGTTCCTCCAGGCAGAGCAGCAAGGTTAGAGATGATTCTGAAGCATTAAGCAGTATGGAGAGAGGGAATAGACAGTGTTCTGCAGGGAAGGCAAGGGCTCTGGTGACTGGAGGGATAGACACAAATCTGCTTAGAGAAGGACTGTGTAAGGACTCCTCTGGGTCCAGGTGCCTTCTGTAAGTAATGTCCCACTACTGAGTCATGTGATTCATGTATAGTAGAGTTGAATTGTACCATATTAATGCACTTAAAAAATTTTTTCCAAGGTGAGAACTGGTGGAAGGCAATTCAGCAAACAGTTACGAGGTAAAAAAATGCAGTGCTCTCCAAAAGTGAGGCGACATGTGCTTAATGTCCACTGACATGGGGAGTGGGCTGGGACAAGTGAAACGTGTTTTTTCCTGAAGCTGAGGCCAGATGAAGGGAAGAAACATGTTCAGGCCCTGATCTTACACAGATGCACACTGGTGAAGTGATCTGCCTGCTCAGAGCTGTTGTAACTAATCATTTCAGTAACAGCTCTGCAGTTAAAGGTTGTTGCTAAGTTCAGCTCCTTGCTAAGGTCAGCCTCTGTGATGTGGTGGATACCAGGAGGTTCATTGTGTTTGGCTGCATGGTCGAGTATCAGTGCTTTTAAAACATGGATCTGAAACATTATTAGACTCATGCAACTTGTCTTTTGTGGTTCTAAAGTTTGGTGAGCCAAAATGAATCTGTTTAACAAACGACAGTGTGAAGTTCTTTTCCCTTGCAACATGGGATGCTGTGAGTGCCAGAACCTGTGATGAGTTCACAATCTCTCTGAATACATTGTTCTTTTGACAGTTCATAAAAGTCATAAAAACATGTGAAGCTGCTTTTTAAACGGACTTTTTTTTTAAGTTTAGACACGTACAAGGTCACCAAATTATGTGAAATGTGCTTGTTTGAGGAATTTGATAATTGTCATTTCTGTCTGCATCATTAGGCATCTGAAACCCCCATTTCTTTAAATCACTGCTTGATTTTCACTGGAAGAAAAGGAATTTTGCATCAGGCAGCATCTTTTAAATGCAGAGCTAATTTGCTTGTCAGCAGGTGCACCTGATAGCCTGATATCCAAAATTTTATAATAATTTTGTAAAGAAAAATATAGTAATATTTGAAGTTTGTTATTCTGCTTTTTTTTTTTGAGAATGACAATTTAGATAAATTGCAGTTGTATTTTTCCTTTGAAAATTTATTTTATATCAGGAATATGGTTGCTTTTTCACAAAGATTTATAATCTTTGCTTCATGATGATCTTGACCTTTTTACAAAGTTGTACTAGAGGGTACAATTTAGTCGGTAAACATTGGTATATCTAACTTGGACTGTAGTGTGCTGCTAATGTTTTGACAGAAGATTGAAGTGCTGTTCTGTAACATAACTAACAAGTTTATAATAATGGGAAATTTTCTGCAGGGGAATTTTTCCTATTTAGGATACTTATATGCATTTCTGATGTAGCTTAACAATTTGTTTGAGGGGCCTGATAGATGTATTTAAAGCAGCACTGATTTTTATAGAAGTTATATTTACAAAGTTGGCATGATTAACTACTTTTCTTTCTGGAATTTGCACATTATTTCCCAAGCAAAGTTGTTATTCTACTAGGCTGTATTCTTTTCTTTCTCAGTTCAAATACTATTGCTTAACATATAATCTGATTTCTTTAGGCTGTCTTTATTTAAAACCAATTCATAACCACTTAAAATGTCAAAATAGCTGAATGTTGCTGAAAAGAAAAGCTAAAAGTTATCCATGTTTGCACAGGGGTAATGGCATACGTGTAAGATTAAAACTCCAGTCCAGATAATTATCTGTAGGAAGCAAATTTATACTCTGATTTCAGATGCTATGAATAGAATGTGATTAGAATTTAATGTGCTGCAGTTTTATTTGCAAAATACACAGGTCCTGTATAAAACCTCTTTTTATAAAGTACTCTCTAGAAGCCTTGGGGATCCCTGTTTAACTTGCAAATGCCGAAGTTTGATCTTCCCCAAATAGAAGATAGTGAAGCTCCTGAGTTCCATGAACTGATTTCTATTTTCAGCTTCCCATAGAGAGCTGACTGTTCAGCCAATTTAAACTCTTTTTTTTTTTTTTTCCTACTCCACTTCATCTTCATTCATTTTGGCACCATTTTGAACTGGAAAACTTCCAGTTAGCTAATTGGCCATTTGCCTTGTTTTATGTGGGGGTGATGTCAAGTGCTGAAATAACCGATTGACTGAAAGCAATCTTGTTTCAAAGGCTGGTCAGAACCAAACCTCAGAAGGTACAAATTTCAGGTTTGTTTTGTCTTTAACTGCTACACAGCAGTCCTTATCCTAGTGGACGAACCTCAGTGAAGAATATAGATTTGAGGTCAAGAGCTGATGTTTGCTCAGATACCACATTTAGAGCCCTGAATTCTGGAGGAAGTAGGAATCCAGATCTTTTTTTAATATCACTTTCAAGACTTCCTCTACTTCTACTCTGGAATATCATACTAGCAATCAATGCTTTTAAGAAAATATTAATTCAAGTCTCTATTTTAAAAAAAAGTGGTAAGCATACTTTGGTTCAGGAAAGTTTTTCTTTTAAGGATGAGAGGAAAAAACTGCTTGTTGTATGAAATATCAGTGGCTTAGTTGAAGATATTTAATGCACATTAATATTCATTAATATTAATAACATTAATAAATTTGGTTGTTATGATCTGTTAAATATCCCATATTCTGCTTTCTCCTTTTCTTATTTAAAGTATTCTTTAAGTTATAATGATTATAAATAGAAAACAAAATACCAAAGCAGTTTTAATTAATTTGTGACTCAGAAAAAGTCCTTCAAATTGCTTCAGGCAAGCATTTTTTCTTTGCTAGCTAAACTTCATTTCTGTCCTTTCCTGGGCTGATCTATACCAGGTAGCTTGGAGGATCATGACCTACTAATCCTTTTTGATTTCTGGTGAGCTTTTAAAAACAAAGTAGACCAAGAAACATCAAAGGAGGATTTAAAAAATACACACTGTGCCCTGAAAAGTAAATGTTGCTTTGGAAGACAT